AAAAAAAAAAAAAAAAAAAGCAAGGACCCCCAAGGGAAGAAGCCAGAAGCCAGGAACTAGTGAGATTCTCAGGAGTGCGTGGGGAAGACCGGGGAACATCAGAGCTGACTGGTACTTCAGCCTGAGGGGCAGTCCTCATTCATTCAACAGACCTCTGTCCCCCCATCTGACAGTGCCAAGAGCGTGGCTATGGAGCGGGCATCGAGAGATCAAAGGCTCCTTGCCTGCCTTAAGGGGCTTGCGGTTCTAAGGCTCAGTGACAAGAGACAAGGCAATGAGGTGGTATGGGTTAGGCCCTGCAGCCTGATGTGAGAGAAAGAACACAGGCTTAGGAGTCAGCTGGACTGAGGTGTGGGTCACAGCCCTGCCACACACAAGCTAAGTGACGTGGGCAGGGAGCTCAGCCTCACCTTCCTCATCTGGGAAATGGGGATAAATTCTGCATGGCAGTTGAATGAGTGAATGGCCACGTTAAGTGTCCAGCTCAGGGCCAGGACTGTGGTGTGTCCGGCAGGCATGTCTCTCCAAACCTCTCTTTCTGGGCCCCTGGGAATGCATCTTGCTGTAGGCAGGAGAGAAGCAGGGAGGCAGGATGAGGGAAGCCCTGGGGCCCCGAGGTACTCACTTGGCACGCAGGGCCAGCTGCCGATCGTTGGGGCAGACCCACTGGTCATTCCCACTGCCGAAGATGGTGTCAGCCATGCTCAGGGCACCCGGCGGGGGGTGGGGAGTCGCATCTGGGATGAGGAGAGGGAAAAGAAAGAGTGAGCATCACTGGCTGGGGTACAGACGGCAGACAGGATCCCTGTGAACCCAGGCACGAGACACTTGGCCCTTCTACACCCTCTACACACTCTCCCACCAATGCCTGGACTCTCACTGTGAGAATCCCGGGCAAACCACTGTTCCCTCAAGCCTCCTTTTCAGAAAGCTCGTGGTTCTGGGAAGGGTGACGAGGCGGATTCTGTGGCTGAGTGACCAGAGTGAACGTGACTGGCAGAACACCAAAGCGTCAGCGTCAGAAATGAGAGAACAGACACATCCTTAGTAGTTTTCAACTCAGCCGGCCACCCCTGGAGGCCACCTGCTCCCTGCCCCTCCCAGTACAGCAGGGGCACACCAAGCACATCACCCAGCAGGAGGGCTGCCTGGGAAGCCCTACCCCGCTCCCAAACCTGGGGACCCAGTGCTCCTTCCCAGAGGTCCACACCGACAATCACAAAGCTCTCTAGGGCAGGGAAGAGATCTGGGGGTGGCAGCTGCAGCCACAATCACCAGCTGGCACCGTGCCAAGGGGTGCTATCCACAGACACTGTCATGAGCATGGCAGCCTGAGGACCCCACAGGGAGGCAACCCTGCCCCAGAACCCGATGGCTTCCCCCATGCACCGCCTGGCACAGCTACTTTCTCCTCGCCTCCAAGGGCAGGATCTCCTTTGGTTCTCTGCTCTGAGGACACCGTGCGTGCATTCCGGAGGAAGTGTGCGATGAGGCTGGGGTATCTCAATGCCAGGGCAAGGACGAGGGGCTCTCCTGAGTCATCCACACTCCCCCGGTCTAATCCCAGCTAGACCAGTGCTTCTCAAACTCAGGATCCCTTTACACTCTTAAAATATATCCAGGCTCAAAATCCATTTGACACTTCCTCAAAATGTTGAACACAGACTTGTCGTATGACCCAGAAACTCTACTCCTAATCACACACACAAGAGTACCGAAAACACATGTCCTCACCAAAACCTGGACACAGATGTTCTTAGCAGCATGATTCATAACAGCCAAAAAGCAGAAACAACCAAAATACCCATCAACTGATGAATGAGAAGAATGTGCCGTATCCATACAATGGAATATGAATTGGCTGTAAAAAGGAATGAAGTGCTTATATCAGCTGAAACTGGATGAACCTTTCAAACATGCTAAGAAAAGCCAGTCACAAAAGACCACGAACTGTGTGAACCCATTTATATATGACAGGCCCAGAATCACAAATCTAGAGGCAGAAAGTGATAAGTGGCTGTTGGGGTTGCAGGAAGAGGGAAGAGAATGCCCACGGGCTCAGGACTTCTTTTTGGGCTGATAAAATGTCCTGGCATTAGACAGTGGTGATGGTTACACAATTTTGTGAATATACGAAAACCACTCAATTGTACCCTTTCAAAGTGGGAATGTTATGGTGTATGAATTACAACTTCAGCACAAATACAGACCATGAAAATAAAAATGAATTACAACTCATTCATAGCCCAGACACGGTGGCTCATACCTATAATCTCAGCACCTTGGGAGGCCAAAGTGGGCAGATCACTTGAGCCCAGGAGTTTGAAACCAGCCTGGGAAAGATGGTGAAACCCTGTCTCAACAAAAAGAACAAAAATTAGCTGGGTGTGGTTCATGCCTGTGCTGCCAGCTACTCCAGAAGCTGAGGCGGGAGATGGTCTAAGCCCAGGACGTTGAGGCTGCGGTGAGCCATGATTTTGCCACTGTAATTCAGCCAAGGTGACAGAGCAAGACTCTGTCTCAAAACAACAACAAAATGCTATAAAAAATTACTGAGGTCAGACATGGTGGCTCAGGCCTATAATCCCATCATTTTGGGAGGCCAAGGTGGGAGGATTGCTTGGGGGTCAGGAGTTCAAGACCAGCCTGGCCAATGTGGTCAAACTCTGCCTCTATTAAAAATATAAAACAATCAGCTGGGCAGGGTGCTGGGCACCTGTAATCCCAGTTGCTCAGGAGGCTAACACAGGAGAATCACTTGAACCTGGGAGGCAAAGGCTACAGTGAGCCAAGATCGAACCACCACACACCAACCAGGGCAACAAGGACTAGACCCGGTCAAAAAAAAAAAAAAAAAAAGATTCTTGAGGACTCCAAAACACGTGAGCCATGACCATTGAGAGTCATCATACTGAAATTAAAACTGAGAAAATCTTTAAAACTTTGTTAATTCACTAAAAATAATAAACCCATTAATGATCACATAATTTACAGTTTATGAAAAACTACACTTAAAAAACAATTAGACAAATGACATTGTTTTACATTTTTACAACTCCCTTTAATGTTTGGCTTCACAATAGAACGGCTGGATATTCACACGTGACCTTTCACTCCAGCGTTTGTGATGGGTTGTTCGTTGAAGTGATCCAGGACATCCAGACCCTCACAAACATGCATGATGGCTGAGGAAAGGAGGGCTTTTTTTTACTTTCCAGGAAATTGTAAATATTTTTCTTTGATATTGCACCAAAACTCTACAGATGTTCATTTCTTAAACATTAGTTCCAGTGTGGCAGCTGAAACCACATCAATGAACTTCTCCTTTTCTGTATATTTGTGAGAGGATGAAACAAGAGTCCTATTCTTCTTACGAAAACACTTTTGACCCTGTGGTCTCCGGCGGGGCGTTGGGAGACCCCGAGAGGCCTGGGGCCCGCTTTGAGAACCGCCTTTCTCGGCCAGTGTCAGCCATTTCCATCACGACCAGCAGGGGCAGGGCGCGACCGCCAGCACCTGGCCACACGGGGGCTCAGGCCACCACCTCGACCACATGGTCCCTCCACCCCACCTGCTCTTCCAGATTAGACCCAACACTCCCAGGGGGCTGCCTCGGGGATGGGACCTGGGCAGCCCCAGGCCCCAAATAGCCAAGTGTGGAAACCCCATGGCCAGGCCCAGACCTGGGGAGGCCTGAGGTGCCCAACCACCGGGACCTCCTCAGAGGCAGGCTCAATCTCCTCCCGAATGAGGCTGATGGGCGAACAAGGAAAGACAGGGTCAGGCATGACACACTCCTCAAACAACTTTAATCAGGCCTCTCCCAGCCTTTCAGTGACAATGCTTTGCTTTGTTTTTTTAAATCTTCAGTTATCTTGTGCATAGCAGTCACACCATTCCACATGGGTGTGAAAAGCATTATTCTGTTCAAAATAAACATTTAAAATATACTACAGGCCGAACGCGGTGGCTTACGCCTGTAATCCCAACACTTTGGGAGGCTGAGGTAGGCAGGTCACTTGAGCTCAGGAGTTTGAGACCAGCCTGGGCAACATGGTGAAACCCCGTCTCCACTAAAAATACAAACATTATCTGGGTGTGGTGGTGCACAACTGTAGTCCCAGCTACGTGGGAGGCTGAGGCAGGAGAATCGCTTGAACCCGGGAGGTGGAAGTTGCAGTGAGCTGAGATCACACCGCTGCACTCCAGTCTGGCGACAGACTGAGGCTCCGTCTCAAAACAACAACAAAAAAGATCTGTAAAGCTTTAGCTCCTCTGTAAACTTACTAGAAGTCCAGGAACAAGTCAACTGTCTTCCTGGGCCTCAGTTTCCTCACTGGCACCCGACAGAGCTGTCAGACAGGCTGGAGCGACGGCCTCGTGCAATTCCAAAGCCTGGTTCTGACTCTGCTGAGTTATGTGAGGGCAGGGAGGCTGCTGGCTGCTCTCACGTGGGAGGCGGGAACTGAGCCCCTCCCAGCCCAGTCCACAGGACAGAGAGGAAGAGGCCACAGGAACTGCGTCCCCCACATCCCCGCCTTTCTCACTGCTTTCAGGGTAGAGGCGCCACAGAGCCACATGCTGCAGAGAGGTCAAGGGAGGTGGAAGGGTGTCGCCTCTGGGGCGGGGGCCGTGGGCAGTGGCAGGGCAGGTTCATCACGGACAGCAAGTTTGTGGCTGACCTGAGAAAAGGTCAGAAATGAGAACCTGGAGGATTCAGGCCCCGGCTCTGGCACGGCCATGATAACCTCACCCTGGCCGTGGCTGGCACACCAGAAGGTACAGCTGTCCTTCACTCGAACAAAGCAACTCGGGACCGAGGGCGGAGAGGAAGGGCGACTCGAGAGGCACATTTTAGGAAACTGATGATGCAGCTGGCTGTGGTTCTCCAAAGCTCTTCAGCCTGACTGCCGCCAGCTCCCGACTCGGCAGCAGGGAGGGCCTCCCCAGCTGATCTCCTGGCCCAGCACCCCCTTTACCCATGGGCAAAATGTGCTCCCACCACCCAGCACTCACTTGGGCTTGGAGGGCAGGGAGTCTGGCCCATTCTCTCTTAAGAGTAGGGTCCTGAAAACCCCAAAGAGCAGTGCCACGTGTGCTCAACAGAGACTGTGCCCTTGTGTTTCTATGCGGCCACTTGTCCTGGGCAAAAATCAGACTGACGAGGGAACACAATAGGGCCTTAGAGAAGGTGAGAGGAAAAGCAGGGAAGCAAACCCCCAAATTCAGGAGGGGAGGATGGAGGTGGCCTGGAGGGAGCCGGGGCAGGAGGTTGTGCAGACAGAGCTGGTGGAGCCCCAGCCACTTCCTCAGTAAACTAGAGAAGTGATCCCTGGGGCCAGGTCTGTCTCTGAGGTCCCCCAGCTGGGACAGGCAAGAGGCTAGAGAAGGGTTGCGTATTTGTATGTGTGTGCGTGTGTGTGTACACACGGGCGTGACAGGTAAGCAGTTGAAGGAGAAGGGTGTGTGTGTGTGTGTGCACATGAGGGGTTGCGTGTGTGTGTGTGTGTACACATGGGCGTGACAGGTAAGCAGTTGAAGAAGGGTGTGTGTGTGTGTGCACATGAGGGGTTGCGTGTGTGTGTGTGCACACGCAACAGGTAAAAGGTTGAAGGAGAAGGGGATGTGTGTGTGTACATGAAGGGGGCTGTGCGTGCACGAGGGATTGCGTGTGTGTGTGGTGCGCACGCACGCAACAGGTAAGAGGCTGAAGAAGGGGTATGTGTGTGTACATAAA